AGCAACATCGCAGCCCTTTGGTGCCTCAAGAAACCCCACCAAACCACAGCTCCCCAACACTRCAAGACATTTAAACCCTTCCTTAACGCTCCTCCTCCTTGGTACTTATGGGCTGCTGTTGAAAACCCTCAGGAGAGTGTTTCAACTTTAACCTGTGGAAACAGCAATTCAAATCAAATCAAAGTTTGYTTGGSTTTTTYCMAAMYKKTWRAARGGATCTAACAATTCAGATCATTATTTCAGGTCTCTGAAGTCTGGACACTTTCAGGTGTTCAGCCACTGCTCTGCCAGCATTTCCCAGAGGGTTGAGGAGGTCTGCCCTGCTCCCAGGAACAGTCTCTTCCTCCCGAGGCCCTGCTCTGCTATGAAATGTGACACATCCTAAATAATGGAATTACAATTCAGTTTTCCTTCTAACCCGGCTGCCACTAGACCTGCATTCAGAAGGATGGGCTGCGGCTCCTGAGAGCAGCAGGGAACCCATCTGAGTCATGCCAGATGCAGGGATGCTCCTCAGCCCCAGGTCCCGTGGGTGCTCTCAGGTGTGGGGACAGTGGTGGAAATTCATCCAGTGCTGGGGAGAGCGTAAGGACATGTTCAGCTCCTGTTCCACATGAGGAGGCTCATTTCATACAAAAACACCTCTGTTATTACCATTCTTGCTCTTGGGTAATTGCCAACATAYTGAGTGTTTGGCTTCTGGGGTGGGGATGACTTCTCAATTTTTCTGAAAAGATCCTAAAGAAGATTTAATAGTTCATATAAAAATGCTGAGGCCCTAAAGCAATTCCAAATATACATTTAATAAATGCATAATTAAGCAYCTTGAACCAGTCTCAAAGCTCTGAATATGAGGAATGAAGAAGGCAAATATGCCATCACTCTGTTCTGGGTTTTCAAAGCTCAAAAAGACACATCAGTGATGGAATGAGCTAAAAATATGTTTTTCCTTCTTCCAATAACTATGCACCAAGACTGAATCCAATGCTTCAACTTTTCTCAGTGAGAATGTTTTTCTAGCTCAATATTTTCTGAAAAGTATATAGAAATATACCTATGTATGATCATTGAAAGGTTTAATTACTAACCCATTAGTAACCAGGAATTATTAACCCTAAACCAAAATACTCAAAGACAATAGCCAGAGCTGATGGTGCTGGGCCAAAATAACACCTCTTTAAACCTATTATCAAATCAGCTGAAAGCCATTTATTGCAAGTTAGTTCAGATCAAATTTACTTGACAATACAGGGTTTCTTTAAATGCTGTTTTCAATGAGAATACCTGGCMTAGGACAKCACCTAAGAATACAGCTATTTTAAAAKACATTTTTGCTTTCAGTCATTACATCCCTCAAGTAGCTAAAAGTCTAGAAATACTGAGAAAGAGAAAACTTCAGCCTAAAATTTATGGCCACCCTATAAGTAAATAATTTTATGTCCGTCTGTCAAATACTTAAGTTTGAGCAACTTTGACAACTCCTGTAATTTTCATTTAAAACACAAATAAAAAGATCTCTCTTTCAGAGTAATAGTAACATTTCAGTATGGGGTTCTTTTTGTTAAGATCAAGCCAAATAAACAGTTAGGGGGCACAATGAACCTTGTTTATTACTACCCCTGCCTAAATATGGCAATATTAAGAYCTCTTGAAATACGACTGAGGAAGCAGATAAATAGGACAATAAAGACA